TCATCGATATCACAAAATTGTCATCAATTGCACAACATTGTCATCAGTTGTCATCAAAAAGCCAAGGACGCTTGGGGATCCTTGGTGCATAATCCCACTATTGAGAGGCGAGTATGGCAGTTCGCTTGACGAAGACAAGAGTAACTTGGAGACGCGCTGGAAGAGTTCATGAACTCCAAAGGACAAAAGTTGTCAAGGAAAGGCAAGCAAAGATCCAACGATGATGCTTTCAGGGTTTTCTCGTGAACGTGCTCCTCCACCGAGGCAGCTCGCACGCAGGCGAACCAGTGCGCATGTGACCATATGTTATATACTACCCAGTTGCGTGCTCCAACCTCAAGAAATCTCAAAAGCGCAGCAGTGTTTCTGGAAAGCTGGCACTCTTTTCCTTCATTCTGAGGCTCCCAGCTTGCCCCATGGCTTGCACGCTGCAGCTGATGCGTGCCAGGAAAAGTTATGCTCTTGTTTTTTGCATGGATAACACTCATATTATGTTCTTCTTATCTTCGTTTGTTCTGATTCGGCCTGAACATTCCACAACTACATGTCAATGTTGTTTCCATGAACTAAGAGACAGAGGCAAAGGTCAAACTCGGCAAAGATCTCGCGTCCATCCATCAGCAATCTGCAAACCAGTTTGGCAAACAAAACAAAGCGCGGGATTGACGACGCATTAGATGATCAGTTTAGGCCGTGGGTCATTCTTGGTGGTTTTCAATCGCTTCTGACTCATAAAACGTGATAAACCGGGTAGTTGGTTGTTATCCAGGACCTTATTTATGGTCAGCGCTCTGACTTGTGTATGCTATCCACATTCAAACCCCATTGTTGGCTGCTTTACTCCAACACTCGGCACTTGGAGGGGAGCCACTGCAGAAATCAAAGAAACACACCCCTGCATGATATGCACATGTCCTCGAAGAGACCCCACACGCGCACAGGCATCTCTCCCGTTTCTTGATCCTGATAATGTGTGGAGCAAACCCAGGTGTCCCTGTGACCGCACAATGCCCTGCCTAGCAGATCCTAGTGCACTTAGTGTGTTCCATCACTCCAAATGACACTGCAAACCAGCTTGGAAGAAATACGGAAAACTGGCAAGCATCCGTGCAATACGATATGTGTTGACTTATCGCACCAACTACACCTCAGAAACAGACGTCCCCACTCCTGACAAAACAGTGGTTTCCCTCTAACTTACGGTGTTTGTTTCACCTCCACTTCCCTCATCCAAACCATTCCGATGCACACCAACACCTCCAAAATTTTTAACACATGTATATAATGTAGGCTCTGCAGGCACTTGACACTACTCATGTGCAAGACTGACACCATAAACTGTTTCCAGACACTCCGAAAACGAGTTCGATACAAAAAACATTCCGATACACGCCAGCAAACCCAAACCTCTCACAACAAATTAAAATTGACCCACAAACAGTGAAAGTCTCCCCACCAAACGCCACTGACGCTCACATGAGCAAATGCGCAACTGTTTGCACAAAATTTACGTCCCCACGCCTCAAAATTAAGCCAGCATAAACCCCAGATAGCAAAAAATTCAGTGGGGCAGCACCCTGCAGTGGCAATCCGCAGCGACACTCTTCTCAGCGGTGTCAACACCGAAGCTCCCCAGCGGCACCCTGCAGCGGCACCAGCGCCCAATTGCCAAGCACACACAGCAGCGACACTCTGCAGCGGCACCAGCACCCAAGCTCATAAGTGCACACAGCAGCGGCACCCTCCAACAGCACCATCGCCCAAACACACAAACCAGCGGCACCCTTTTCAAGTGGTCAGTGTTGCGTTTTGGACTGAACACAGCGCCTTTGCACCAAAAAGTCAACCCTGGCCTGTGGTATCTCTACGCCGACGGGCTAGTCTTGCAGGATGCTGTGACTTTTTCAAACTACTACGCTGGCTACACGGTCAATGTTTGGCCCTACATGGGCAGGGACTACGAAGAAACCGAGCTGTTTCGCGATCAAGCTCCCAAGCGCACACAACATCGGGAAACCCTGCAGCGGCACCCTGCAGCGGCACCAGCA